ATTGTTTAAAAACTATTAATGTAGGCCTATGCAACACCAGGATGCTTGTGCTCTATATTCCTGTCAACAACACATATCATCCAATCAAATTTCAAATTCAATGTCAAGTGATCTATACAGACCAATTACAGGCCAGAATAGCCAAATAAGACGCCATATGCAATTTCGTGACGGTAATTCTCATTATACACGGGTATATTAATCGCAAAATATCATTATAATAAATCAAAATCTTTAAAAATATTCTATTATATAATACTAAGCAATGATTATATTGGACATATTCATCAGTAATACAGACTTTATGTGTAAATTTAATAACAATTATGCCGTTTGAATCATCCTCCAATGTACACATCTTTCGATCAGCGGACATTTTTATGCATCGGACTCGAGAGTCGTAAGATTTGAGAAAATCAAAACATTGTTGAGTAGCATCAGATCTAATTCATACTTGGCATAGATATTAAATATATAATTCTTAAAATTACAGGATGGTTTTTAAAATTTATAGAGCTTACAAAATATGTGTAAATGATGCTTTATTTCAAAGAAAAAGTTCCGTACACTAACTCCGTGACCGATCAATGAAAAAAATATTTTTAAATAGTGCAAGTAAACTTTGACCTGTTTACTTTGTAAATAAGTTCAAAGGTTAGCGAATGCAACCAATAAACGATTTAAAGATCTTGGAACATGGTATTTTCTGTAGAGGGTGCTCTCGACTCGGTTTCAGACGCGAATCTTCGTTAGTTTCCGGTAGCCGCTTTGTGAAAACGTCAGAAGAGGAACGAAGTTTCTTAGCGCGAATCACAATTGTTGTTTGTACATGGTAGAGTGAAGCTTGTATGGAAAAAGAACAATAAAATGCCGAAACGATGTTGTTGTTATGGGATGCAGCAATGTAATCAAAGACGGCATAAGCTTGCACGTATTTCCTAAAGACCCAGTTGCTTTTAGAAAGTGGGAAAAATTTGTACAGGTAAAGAGAAGTCACTGGAAAGGTAGCCCGTACTCATGTATAATTATGTTCCGACCATTTTACAACTGAACAATTTATATAGGGAATCCGGTAAAAATCGGGCTTGGATTTAGAAATAGGTAGGCCTATATGTCTATCAATTTGCTATTGTTTGTATATAATTTTATTCTTCATATTGAAATTATACTGATACTGATACTGGCCTATCCTGTATCGCTCATCGACCTTACCTGCTGCCTGTCAGATCAGCCGGGCTAAGCCTAGCCCACACTATCGGCTTGCATCTACTACTACTAGGCTAGGCCTAGTCTAGACGTACTGTACGTTGAGTGCTTTTGTGTGGTGACAAGTTCAAGAATAGAGTGCAACGAAAGTGGTGATGAGTAAGCTACAAACATATTATAGCATTACTGTAAAACCAGTTTAGGTCTGTTGTGAATTCTTGACGTACTGTACACAAACCATGTATTTGTTAGTACACAAAACATGTGTTTGTTAATGTAATGTGTACTGTATAAAACAATTCTACATTTTTCCTTTTTAAATGTGTTTTTGTTTGTACTTTTTTGTTACAGCTGTTCTGACAATGAACCAGATTTCGAACTTGCAAACCAGGAGGCAAAATATGTTGTGTTCCAGTCTATGCTGATGGCACTATTCGCCCTCTGCCAAGTTTGTGGTAGGAAAGGTGCAAAAGCGGCAACTACTTTTATAGGGACTCTAATTATTGTTAACCAATCTTGTAGTGTTTGCGGATGAACTTTCCGGTGGTTAAGCCAGCCATAGCTCTATCCCTGCTGGAAATTTGCTGCTTAGTGCTGCAATACTGTAGTTCATGATTTACATGTGGTAATGGGTCAGACAGCAAGTCCACATTATTGAAAAATTAATCCCAGAACACAATATGTTGTTGATGCACCGCCTCATCTGTGTTCAAGCTTTGAGCGTCCTGAGAAAGAGGCGTCTGTTGCAAACCATTTTACCAGATTCCCAAATGTGGACAGCAATACCAACTAGTTTTTTTTTACTGACATGCTATAACAGCCCATGTAGCAAGCAAAGTCCTAATGTATGGCAACAGAAATCCAAAGATAAACTAGTAGATTTGATCAACATTCACCTTGCCAGGTTTCATCCATTTTTCAATGCAATATACATTTTATTGGTAATACTTGCATATATTTTATAGATTTATATGTAATTATATTGTTCATCTGTATTTTTACTCAACTACCTCAAATACTGTTTTTATTTAGTTTTATATAACCTCCAAAACAACCTTTTATATACAGTAGTTTATTTGTATAGTACACTGTATAATTTATTATAATTATCACAATGTGTAGCTTCTGTGCAGTCCAATCACAGTAGTTCATGATTTACATGTGGTAATGAGTCATACAGCGAGTCCACATTATTGAAAAATTAATCCCAGAACACAATATGCACCTTGCCAGTTTTCGTCCGTCTTTCATTGCAATATATACATTTTGTTGATAATACTTGTATATCTGTATTGCGAAGTTTTAAATATTATATGTAGTTGATGATTGTGTACTACACTTCTTTTTTTTTTATATCAGATCCTCCTTGCATTTCTCAGATGTAGATGTAAACAATTTTAGATTAATTTACTCTACAGTTACTTTATACAGTCATTTGGTATAGTTATCAGTATCTATAATCTTTTTTTTAATTTTTTTTCTATAAAATAATTTTAATGTATTGTGATTTGTAGCATACACATATATTACACTATTAATTTGTCTTTCATTGCAGCCAAACCACTTATTGTCAATGTAAATTTTATTGGCAATAGGCGTATATGTATCCGTCCAATATATACATATATCTGTGAATAAAATCTCATTCTTTATTTCCCGGTTCTCATTTGCAGTTGTTAGTACTGTATCCTATATTAAAAGCTATTATGCAGTTAATTTGTATATATTTGTTGTGATGTACTTTTATGTTCAAACATTACGTCAGTCATAATTCAAAAGTCGATTACAAATTCAGCAAACAATGTATTTGAAATCAAGCTCATGAGAACTTCCAGCATGTCAACCCAAAATAATAGTACTGCACAATGATTACAAGGTTATATGTTTTATTAGCTACAGTATTTTATTTTGTGCTGTATAATGAACAAATAACATGAGTCATCGCCAGCAGCAGCGAGTCAGCAGCAGCGAGATGTCACTGCAGCAAAACAATATTGTACACGGTACCAACGCTGTTCTAATATAGACAATGGGTCGTGTCTCATATTATTTGTTATATTTTTATTATTCATTATTTTCACTTGACTCGCATAAATAATTTTGTTCAAAGAACATTTTATGCAGTTTTACTTCGCAGCACTTCACTTGCAATTTGCAATTTCTAGTAATATTATTATTACTGACCAATTCAATGACTGGGTTCGAAGTTGAATCTCCTGGATTTCTTTCCACAACCATTTGTTGATCACGCCCGGTATTTGCATTCTCACCACCTTCTGAGTCGGAGCATTCTGGCTCATACATGTACAGTTTAATTTCATCAAAATTCTCCCTTTCATGTCGGTCATTTTGATTTGCAATGCTTCTTGCCTCGTTCTCTTCTGTTTCACATTTCACAATCAATGTTTCTTCGTCAAATTCATCGGATGACGAGCTCTCCAAATCATATACAATACGTGTCTAGACATTCTTCGTTTTAACCATAGATCGCGTGTATGTATAGCCCATACAGATATAATAAGAATACTAGAGCGCTCACCCCAATGTATTCGATGTTCGAAATACGCAGAACTGTGTGTGTGTACCATCCAAGATGGCTGCCATAGATTTAGCCAATCAAATTTCGCTAAGCACCATCGTTTGCAATTGCGCCCTCAATTTATTCAGAAAGTTCAGTACAGTTAGTTACCCGTATGTTGAAACTCGAGCGTTGCGATGTTTGGGTGTAATGTACACGATTTTAATTTTCATTCCTTGGTACTTTATTTTTCAATAAGATGCTCCACTTGGCCTCATTTTGGCTACAATAGTTTAATAATTTGTTATTACCATTACTCATTATCATTAATGAAATAATAGTCAGTCAGAGGGCTTATTGATGTAATAATATGTATACTAAGCCTGAAGGTGGCGCTTTACTACGACGGCCATCTTGGATGGTACACATACCCAAGTGGGCACAACTTGGTTGAAATAACATTGAATCTACGTTTAATTTTTGTTGTATATGAAAGTTTGCATCAACGTAAATCTCAACGTTGATTCAACGTAAAATGTCTAAGGTTCATTCAACGCTAATTTTTCAACGTTGGAACAACGTCAAATGACCAATGTTGAATTAACATTGAATTTTAGTTGTATATGAAAGTTTTCATCAACGTAAATTTCAACGTTGATTCAACGTCAAATGCCTAAAATTGTTTCAACGTCAATGTTTAACGTTAAAACAACGTCAAATGATCAATGTTGAAACAGCGTTGAGTTTTAGTTGAATATGAAAGTTTTCATCAACGTAAATTTCAACGTTGATTCAACGTCAAATGCCTAAAATTGTTTCAACGTCAATGTTTAACGTTAAAACAACGTCAAATGATCAATGTTGAATCAGCGTTGAGTTTTAGTTGAATATGAAAGTTTTCATCAACGTAAATTTCAACGTTGATTCAACTTAAAATGTCTAAAGCTGTTTCAACATCAATTATCTAACATTATAATAACGTCAAACGATCAATGTTGAATCAACGTTGAATTTTGGCTGTAAATGAAAGTTTGCATCAACGTAAATTTCAACGTCGATTCAATGTAGTATGTTCAATGTTAATTCAATATAAAATGTTCAATGTTGAGTCAATGTCAATGTTTAATCCTTTAAACTTACAAAATACACTGAGTTCAAAATATACTTGACCATTTTTCTTTAATTGAAACTTGCAAAAAACATAAAATATTATGCATTGTACTATACTACAGGCATGTATAAATCAGAGTTTTTGTAATATAACAACAGCTACTATTGCACGTCCACTTAGCTTAATTAAGAATCTTTCGCGTTACAGGTTTCGGTTTAAATCAGTAACTTTCTTGGTGATAAATTATTTGAAGCTCTACTCCTTAGCCAAGTCTTTTCTTGTCCGACCAGAGGTATTGAAGCAAGGTATCCAAGAACCTTTGTGAAAGATAAAAACAAAACAAAAATATTTGTAAAAAAGGAGACTGAAATATTATTTTAAAGTTAATTGTATGGTAAATTTTAAAAATGTAAATACTTGAATATCATGTAGATAGTTGAAACAACTGTTCTTCCCATAGCAATCTACATTGATATACTGCAAGCATTACCAATAATGATGCAAATACTGAAAAATATTCACTATGAACTACAGTATTGCAAACATGGACAGTTAGACATTTCTATACAGAGAGTGGCACTTAACCTAAAACACATATTCATTCAGTTTTATTACTTTTGATATGCAAAATATTAAATTGAATGTTGTGTAATAGAGTACAGTAATTGCCTAGGTCAATAATGGGCTTAAACTAAAACAATTTAATATTTTGCTATATAATTAGGATCAACACCAAACAACATGTATGGATGGAGAACAAAAGTAAGTTTGAAAAAAACTTAAAGGCACATCTTTTAATAATAGAATGTGTTTTTTTACATTTAAATACATTTTTCTTTAAGGGCAACTCAGACAGCATCATACTATGAAGTTAGGTGCCATTTATTGTTGAAGAATATTAAGCATTTTAAGATAATATTTACAATTTGACTGTCCCCAATTAATTTAAACTCAATAATCGCCTTTGTACGACTATAATAGTCGTAAAACGACGATTAAGTCAAATGCTGTTTACTGTTTGTATAACTTCTTAGGTACCCAAGACTTTAATCAAGAAACAAATAGTTATTACTGTGACACAGTAGGGTAGTCACTTATTGCTGTGGGATAGTGGTATTAGCAAATGTGCAGTATATTCTTGCAAAATTTAACAATAAAAATACCTTTACTGCTTCATCATGGCTGCTCTTCCATCAGTTTTGTACCAAGAGGCAAAATAAATACACATTCAATAGTGGGTTTTTTTCCAGTGTCTACCACAAACAATATTGCAACCAACATGGCTTTCTGTCAATGGATTGAAAACCTGAAAGAAATACCATATTATTTAGAGTTAGGCCTACTGTATGCACACAACTAAATTAGCCCATATCTATTTTTATATTTCTATTATTCATTACGCTAACCATAGCCTCAAATGTTATTATCAAAAGATATAGGCCTATTGTTAATTTTTCTCTTTATTGAAAGAAAATATAAAAATTTACATTATTAAACATCTTCAAAAAAAAAAAAAAAATGGTTACTGATGACATGACAGTGATGTGTCTATTATACCACTGGCAGTACAGTATGTAGGCCCATGATATGAGATGAATTATTAAACACACATAATAGGCCTAGCTGTTTTATTTATTTTTGCGCTTTGTCCATGCAACCACATTTTAACATTATATTTAATTTAATATAGACCTATTATAGCATTCAACACAGGACGTGGCCATGTTGCAAAGAAAGGTCTAGGCCTAGGCGATTAAAAATTACCGCTAATAATTTAAACTTAGCCCACACATCCAACTTGCAGTGTAGCCCAAACAAGTAAAATTATCCCAAGTATGCCTTTACACTACCCTACAACAGTACTCTAGTCTAGGCCTAGTCTCTTCTACTAGCTAGGGCCAGAGGACTGGCTGGCGTATCTTAGCTAGAAAAAAAGATAACCACATAATAATAAAGCAAGCCTATACAGTTACGATATTGCAGGCTAGTTTAGATACACCCTCTAATATAGTATACAAATATAAAGTACCTACCATTTATTTGATAATGCTGAAATTCTTTAGTATGTAAACTGTGTATGAAAACAGCTTTACAGCAACTGATGATACTTCAAAAAATGAGCATTTGTTTCTGATTGGTCTGTACCTAATGACCTAATCCGATTAGCCCATTACTTGCCACACTTTCAAGGACAGAGAACCAATGTAATTACCATAATGATTAAAGATCATATATGCTCTCATAATAGGCCTATGAGTTTTTTTATACACCACCATGGAGTTAAACTTTAATAGATCTTGTACAATTATTTCTATGAAATTTCATATCAAGTTGAGGTTGAGTTAAAGAAATTTAAACTTGGTTGAAAAAAATAACATTCTAAATGTTGATTATACGTTAAAATACAAACTACATTTTAATTTGACATTGAAAAGATGTTGAAATTTATGTTATTACTGTGATTTTCATATCTCAACCAGTTTTCAACGTTTTTATTGTTGAAATAATGTTGAGTAAATAATGGGTAGGCCTACTTTGTAGAAACACATAACACATTTTCAATGTTGATTCTACATTGAAATAAAAACTATATTTAAAGTTAACGTTGGAAAAATATTGAATAAATATAGGCCTATTGCAATTGTTATGTTAAAATCGCAACCTGATTTCAAAGTTAATTCATTGTTGAAATAAAATTTGGTAAAATCTTAAACTCCGGGTTGAAAACACAACTTATTTTAAATGTTGCTTATACGTTAAAATAAAAACTATATTTTAACTTGACATTGAAAAGAGGTTGAAGTAATGTTGTTACTGAAATTTTAATATCTCAACCAGAATTCAACATTTATTTATTTTTGAAACAACGGTGAGTAAATAATGGGTGGGTTTAACGTTGAGAAAACGTTAAATAAACAATAGGTCTTTGGTTGAAAAACATAACACATTTTTAACGTTGATTCTACATTGAAATGCAATTTTACTTTGACGTTGAAAAGATTTTGGACTTATATAGTTACTGTAAATTTAGCCTATCTCATCATATTTCCAACGTTTATTTAACGTTAAATAATGTGGAATAAACAAGGTTTTAACTGAAAAAACATACGGTAACATTGAACGCTAATTATACATTAAAATACAAACTATATTTTAACATTACATTGAAAAGATGTTAAACTAATGTTGTTACTGTAATTTTAATATCCAAACCAGTTTTAAATGTTATTGTTGAAATAACTTTGAGTTAAATTAATGGACGTTGATTCTACATTGAAATAACAATTATATTTAGACTTAACATTGTTATGTTAAAATTTCAACCAGATTTCAAAGTGAATTCAGTGTTGAATTAAAGTTGAGTAAAAACAATATTTTAACTTGACACTGAAAAACATTTAACTTATGTTGATACTGTAACTTTAAAATCTCAACATATTTGCAATGTTTATTTAACCTTAAAAAAATGTTCAATAAACAATAGGATTGTGGTTGAAAAACATATCACTTTTTCAACATTGATTCCACATTAAAATACAAACTATAATTTAACTTGATGTTGTAAAAATGTTGAACTTACGTTGTTACTATAACATTAAAATCTCAACATATTTTTAACGTAGAAAAAACTTTGAATAAACTATGGTTTTTGGCAGAAAAACATAACATAGTTTAAACATTGATTACATGTTAAAATACAATCTATATTCTAACCATTAAAAAGATGTTGAACTAATGTTGTTAATGTAATTTCAATATCTAAACCATTTTTCAACATTTATTTATTATTGAAATAACGTTAAGTATGTAATGGATACATTTTTAAAAATACACAACACATTTTCAATGTTGATTCTACATTGAAATAAAAATTATGTTTAGAGTTAATGTTGGAAAAATGTTAAATAAACATTGTAATTGTTATGTTACGTTGATTCTACATTGAAATGCAAACTATATATTAACATGACGTTTAAATGATGTTGAATACATGTTTGTACTGTAATTGTTAAATTATCAACCAAATTTTAACATTAATTCAACGTTGAATTAATGTTAAATTATCAACCGAGACTTGGGTTAAATACACAACATATTTCCAACGTTGATTCAATGTTGAGTATATGTTGTGAACATGATTTCAACGTTTCAACTACATTTCAACATTGCTTCAACGTTGAATTAACGTTTTGTGCCCGCTGGGACATAACTCTGCATTGCTGCGCCATCTTGTCAGCACTCTAGTTGTTTAGTAGCTCTATGGTATAGCCAAAGATACTAGAAATACCGCATTCCCCTCATGACGTCATCACACACAGCAATGTATTTTCTGCTTTTATTACCGATTTCGGGAAGCGACTCGGGAGATACAAAATCCGTTACAAAAATACCCTCAAAAGTCAGTAAAATGGCTATGAAATTGATTTGTCCGTGTACTGATGAGATTATCACATTCGGCTAAATTAAAGGCTAACATATGAACTAAAATTGTATATTTGAATACCATGTTCCAAGATCTTTAATACGATTTTTTCTAATCTGGATCCAAGATGCAAAACCAAACAATCAGCATCGGCGTCGCGACAACGATAACAGTCCGTGACGTCACTCTTCTAGTTACACCCTTCCTTTTTAAATTTCACCTACCTACTCAAGAAAAGCTATCAAAATGAGATAATCTCCCGGCATTTTACTATCTCAATACGATTACAATAATAAGGTTCGAACTAGTTTGGCATAAATTAAAGGTTGTGTAATTATGGTAAAATACTCACCTTTTTTCGACCTATGATTCGACACACCTTACCACTCGTACGATAAAAACAGGAATGGCGTCGTTTCAGTAACGAATCCCGCGTTTTTGAACTTAAAACTTGAAACGAGAACACGCGGCGCTGATTGGTCAATATAGCAAACGAATACAATGTATAGGCTTAGGAAACACTATTTGAGAAAACCAATATTTCGACCTATCCTTAAGTAATTATCAAGGTACATCAATTATTTATCAAGTACATTTATTATAGTACTGACACACACACGTGGCACCTCGCAATGTTCTTGACGGCCTGAAGTCAACATGGGCCCAACGGCAGTATAGTCATCCTTTCAGACGTTTACCGACGTCGGGCCAACAACGAACGTCGCATCAACGGCGTACTGTGATGTTGACACAAAATAATCATTGCTAACTTTTACCACCCTTTACAGTCCTGCAGTAGTACACAGCCATCTTTCAAATGTTTACCGACGTCGGGCCAACAATGTACTGCGACGTTGCGACGTCTACAATAACCTCTAACCAACGTCAGCCCAACGGTGGTACCCAACGTCCATTTCAAAGGTTTCCCGACGTCAGGCCAACAAAGTACTGTGACGTTGCGACAAGGTATATAGTCACATCTAATATTTACAACCTCTAAACAACGTCGGCCCAGCGGTATAGTAAGCAACCTCCATTTGAAACGTTTACCGACATCGGGCCAACAACGTACTGTGACGTTGCGACCACGTCTATAATCACATCTAATATTTACAACCTCTAACCAACGTCAGCCCAACGGTGGTACCCAACGTCTATTTCAAACGTTTACCGACGTCGGGCCAACAAAGTACTGTGACGTTGCGACAACGTCTTTAATTACATATCATATATACAACTTCTAACCAACGTTGGGCCAACGGTTGTAACCCATCTCCACTAACGTTACCGACGTCGAGCCAACAAAGTACTGTGACGTTGCGACAACGTCTGTTATCACATCCTAATATTTACCTGTAACCAACGTCAGGCCAACGGTTTTAACCAACCTCCATCTCAAACGTTTACCGACGTCGGGCCAACAACGTACTGTGACGTTGAGACAACGTCTGTAATCACATCCAATATTTACAACCTCTAGCCAACGTTGGGCCAACGGTAGTACCCAACCGTCTTTTTAGTAGTTTGCCGACGTCCGGCCAGTAACAAATCGTGACTTGTACCAAAGTCCGTAGTCAGACTGAATATTTACGACGGCTTACCAACGTTGGGACGACATCGGAAAATCGACAAATATATTCATACGTTGGGCCAACGTGAAATTCCAATGTTGGTTTGACGTTACCTCTCCGACCAAATTTTTCAACCAAACACCAACTTCGTACCAAATGTCAGATATCCGACCCTGACGCTTACCGACGCTTGCCAACGGTTACCAACGTTGGGTCAACGTCGCTTTGCTAGTTGGGTCGCGCCTTTCATTATTAATAAAGGAACATAAAATTTTTCATTAAAAATTTCTATTAATAATGAAGGTTTTGACTCAGAGGTAAATTTTTCAGTTATACAGCAGATGGGTAAGGATTCATTGGCAGTAATAAAAGTCGTTTTCTAATGCGTCAACATTTATGACTATTACTGTATTTGCTTTTTCCTTACAGGAGCATTTCTTCAGTGGTGGACAGAACGGCTATAATCAGGATAAGCTGAAGAACTTGAGCAGAACTCTGCCTTCCTCAAACCTTAAGAGGCCATGAATGCAAAAAGCTAAATCTGGACAGCCAAATTACACCAGGGATACTGCACTGAGGGGAATTTATCAAGAAGTGCCAAGGTTCAAGGACTGGTGTAAAGCCTTACATCCAACAATGATCTGCAGGATTGTGAGCCATCCTTAGGTATGTTTCTTGCATTCATTTGTCATTTATCCAGTAGTGTGCACATGAGTTGATAATTATTATAATCAGACATACGATATTATTACTCATGGCCAGAATTTTGCAATATAAAAATTAAATTAATGCATAAGCAAAGATGATTACAATACTTTATTCTTTTAAGTAGTCTTAATGACCGTAAAGTAAACGACCATTCATAAGGCCTCATACATAAAAACAAATAACCATCAGAAAATGATTACATTCACACATAATCTTAATTAATACATTTATACAGTAAATCTAGATTAGTATCTTAGTGGAAAAAGTGTGTAGACAATCAGGTTGTGTAGCAGTAGAATTATACACATGTTAGGTTGTCAGAAATACTGTTCGATTTTTGACTGCTTTTTTCCTAACTGTATTATTTATATTTTTATGTTTTTTGTTTTTCACAGACAAGAAATCAATGTATGCTTTCCATGTTCTCCTCAACTTGCTGCCGTCCGGTACAGGGAAACATAAATGTACATCAAGGGATTTGACAAAGTTGTTTATCGAATTCAAGCTGGTAAGTGTACTCAGTTTGTTTCCATTATTACATACATATATTCAAAATATGAAAACCAAATTATATTTAGAGGATTTGTATGTTTAGTTATGTATTTTCTTTGAATGAATGTGTGTATGTAAAGATGTGTCACATGTGTTGTCCGAATGTAACAGTCAGAGTTAAAACCTTTAATGTACCGAGATGATCATCTTTCATGTTTAAATGCCTTGGTCAAAAGGAAAAACATCTAATTTGTTATAATTAAATGGAAAGAAGTAATTAATATACACATGCCTATTGATTATAAAATTTAACAATAATAATATATACAGTAGGCCAACATATTTGTTTACCCTTCTCTGCTGCCCAGTGACAAATTGGAGCTTTTTTTTATTTTGTTTCTGGTAGAAATAGAATCATAAATCATATTTACTTTAAAAGAATAAAAAATTAATACACTATGATAAACCTTTTTTATGACCGGTCAACAACATTTACTACCTACTTTAATTTCAACTCAGATTTGTGTTTATTCTTTTTTTTTTCTTCTGGTCGGTACAAACCAAGGGAAGGATCCAGAGGCAGCCATTCCTGTTATGCTTGGGAACGATGGATGACCCCCGGCAATTTTTTGTTATTTTGAATACTGTTTGGACAACATCACATCTGCAGCTGATCGGCTTTTCAAGCTGCACTAAGTCCTTAACATACATTATGCGAAAGCCCTTAAATTTTTTTATATCTTTTTGGAAAGTACATGCATATAACATTAATTTGCCTGGAAGAAAGGTTCCAAATAAAGTGGCATATTAAACTAATTTCTAACCTGGCAGCACTCAAATTATAGGGATCAACAAATTATCTATCTCTGCATCTTTTTGATTTAGATTTTATTATAAAAATCCTAATTTAATTTTTTATTTGTATATCTAGGGATAGTACACCTGATGTTAGCATCATAATTGATGAAAAGCAGCCACATTATTATTATTATTTATTATTTTAAATTTCCATATAAGCCATAGCCTACTTGCACCTAATGCTAAAAAACATACAACCTGTCAACATAATGCAAGTTTGAGTATCTACTGTAGTTGCTGCAGAACAGATCCGCCAGAATTATAACTGAGACGAGGAAATTTGACCACATTACTCCAATTCTACAACAATTGCACTGGCTGCCTGTGTATTATAGGGTCGTTTTTAAGATCCTTTTAATCACGTATAAAACGCTAAACGGTGAAGGTCCAGAGTAT